TGTAATAGCCTTTCACCCTTTCCATTCTTTCACATACTTTGCACAAGTTATTCCTAGCAACAACTAAAGTGATCAGTTTAAAATATAGGTCACTCACATCCTGCTTTGTCAAAATATTGGAATCGCTCTCAACAAACTATAGTAAAAGTCAAAATCCTTACAATGACCTACTATTTTCTATTTAACCTAGTCCTTGTTATTTTCAGACTTTAGATCCTATTGTTTTCTCCTTTTTTTCTTCTAGACTCTCTAGTCTTTTAACTGTTCTTTGAACATGCCAGGCACATTTCTACCTCAGAACCTTTCCAAGGGCTGCTTCCTTACCTAAAATACTTTTCCCTCAGCTGTCTGCATGCTTCCCTTTCTCTGTTATTTCAAGTCTTTGGGGAAAAAACTATCTCATTGAGATCTTCTCTGATCATCCTGGCCCACAACTACATTCAACAGACCTATCACAGATCAATTTAAATCCCCAACAATTGTTTAAAATGGGTAAAGCCTACTGTATATTCCAAATGTTAGAACTTTAACACTAATGTAATCCTGACATGAACAAAAGGAAGGAAGAAAAGAGAAAGGAAGGGAAAGGATCAAGAGACGTAAAAGAGAAAAAAGAGAAAACAGAAAAAAAAAACAAAAAAGAGGAGGGAATATTAAGAGATGTTATTCTTCAGGAAATATAAAATATCAATGCAATCTATAAATAAATTTTCATTTTTCAAAGTCAAATAGCTACATAGTTATTGAGGATATTTGTTTAGGCTTTGTAAAATATATTAATAATAACTATACCATACAGGGATGATAAATCAAAGGATTGTAGTCCAGGCTGACCAAGGTATAAATTTGAGATCATATCACAAAAATGACTAGCAAAAAGAGCTAGGGATATGACTCAGGTGCTAGAGTACCTGGCTGGGGAACACAGACCCCGAGTTCAAATCCAAGTATTGCCAAACAATTTTTCAAAATAAATAAATGACATAATAATATGGTTGTGGGAAAAACACTTCCAAATGACTTGAACCAGGGAGAAGTAAGAACCTGGAACAGAAAGGCAGCCTGAGCAATATAACAAGACCTCACCTCGGGGTGGGGGTGGGGGTGGGGGAACTGAGAAAAGTCAGCACCATATAAAGAGTTCTTACAAATCAATAATAATTAATTTAAACTAAGAGAATAATGCACATTATTTTGTGCTGGGACAGTCTACATATTATATATACATAATTTGTAAATTTTTGGTGAAGACATCTTTTGATGCTAAAGAGCTCAGTATTATATATTTATGTATGTACATGTATACATACATACACACATATATAGCATACGTGTATACATGTTGCAGATGTGTGCATGTATATATGTATGTAGATGTTCATATCTCTCTATATATTTATATGACATAGATATACATATAGATGTTTATACATATAACTTTGTTCATTCACTGATTCATGACTCTTGCAGTAATGCATTGACATAAGTAATATTTTAATCCCCGCTTTACAAATAAGGAAACTAAGTGATGAAGTAAACATCACTAATAGGATTTATAGAGTAGTGATCACAAAGCCAAGATCAAACCCTAACACTGACAATTTGACTGTAAGATCTGTGCCCTCTCTCAGACAATATGAATAAGAAATGCATTTTTAAAGAAATGAAGTCATGCAAATGAACAAATATTCCTTTTCACTACAAATCAAATAAATACAATTAATGCTAAAAATAAGATAAATGTGATATTAGCAATGGTTAAAAATGAAAATAACAAATGTTAGTACATATGTGGCAGGATGTATAAGTGCTCTCATACATTACTGCTAAGAGTAACTGGATGAACTTTTTAGAGAGCATCAAATATGCTTTTAAAAAGAACAACAAACAACTTATTTCTAATAATTTAAACTAAAGCATTAGTCTTAAGTGTGAAGAAACAGAGATGTAACACTGCTGTAACATTGGTACTAATAATGGAAAGCTAGAAAAACTAACTGTAGATAGTCAACTAAACTATGAAGCTCCTGCAAATAGAATAGTTATGCAATTGTTAAAATAATGTACAAAAACAAATAACATTATGAAATTGTAAATGATGTACTAGTTAAATAAAATAGCAGAATGCAAAACACTTGCACTATCTGTAATCCCATTTTTCCTTTGTTGCTGCTGTTAGTTTGTTCTCATGCTGGTCTTAAGGCTTGAACACAGAGCCTAGGTGCTGTCCTTGAGCTTTTGTGCTCAAGGCCAGTACTTTATCACTCAGCCACAGCTTTGCTTCTGGGTTCTTTGGTGGTTAATTGAAGCATCTTATGGACTCTCCTGACTGGTCTGGCTTCAAACCTCTATCCTCAGATTTCAGCCTCCTGAGTAGCTAGGATTATAGGCATGAGCCATTAGCAGTTGGCATAGACGTACACATAATCTTCTTAATGGTTGTATCTGGACAAGGGAATGGAAATTTTTCTTTTTCTTATTTTAGATGCACTGCCAAATTTATAGTATGCAATATCTGTTGCTTTTGTAGTAATCAATGTATTCTAGTTTTTTTTAACAAGTTTTTGTTGTGAAAATACTGTACAGAGGGGTTACAATCACATGAGCAAGGTAATGAGTACATTTCTTATCAAGCATTGTTGACTCGTCCTTTGTTTTTCCCTCCCACCTCCATAACTACGTTTCTGCCCCCCCCAACCCCCACCCCCGCCTAAATTGTAAAGTTCATTTCTCAACATAGCATCTTGTACATTTCACTGTTGCAATGGGTCAACCTAAGATAGGTAAGAAAATAACATTTAATAATGTGCAAGAATGCTAATGATACATTGACCTTCTAAAAGTTCCTTGTACCTGAAAGAGATAGGTGCTATTGCCAATTTTCTACTCCTTGTTGATAATTTTAGGCTCATGGATACTTTTATTAAGAAAATTAACAAATATATGAATTAAAAGAGCCAGGACTGGATCAGCTATAATAGTTTCAATATAATTCTGTGACCTAAGGATAAAGTTGTATGAATTTTAAAAAGGAAATAAAGCATTCTAATACCTGTAGGTATTGAAAGTATGCTTTTTAAAATCCTTTTTCTTTTCCTCTATAGTTTATTATTTTTATTCATGGTAAAACTGTGTTTCACTTGTCTTTAAAAAAAATACATGTAACTAAGCAGAAAATCTCCAACAGCATATTGGTATATTTTGAGGTGCTTCTAAAAGTCACTAACATAATTTGTTTTTAAATTTTTCCAATAACCACAATTATTTTTTATTAGAAACAAGAAAGTTTATATTTTCCCTTTTTATTAACCCATACTAACAACTGTTTAACAAACTCATAGTTATGGCTTAAAGACAAAAACAATAGCATACTAACTTCTGATTAACACAACAGATCTTTTAGTGGTAGTTTTTCTTTAAAAAAATCAAATCTTATAAATGCATTTATATATATATATATATATATATATATATATAAACTCTATCAAGCTGCAATTGATGCTTAAAAGAATTCAAACATCTTAATCTGTTTCCACTATAAGTAGATATATTATAATAGACTACTGAAAAATGGTAACACAAATGACCAAAAAATACACCAACATTGGTCATCAATATAGAAAGGAAAAAAGTAAGGATTGTTAAAAGCCCTGGCCCTGATTCCTAAACATGTGATCCTGAGCCAATATTTAGATTCTTCGACTTCAAACTTAAAGTATATTTTTAAAAATTAGATTCTCCAGCTTTAAAATAGTAGTAAACTTTATTTTTAAGATGCAAGAAATTTCATTTGACAAAGCTAATATAAGTAGGAATGTCTTCTAAATTAATATTTATTTAACCACAGATAAACATAGTAATGTCATGAAACCAAAAATTTTTTAATGAAGAGAAAAACAAGAGAGAAAAGAGCTAACATCTTTGATACTGAAGAGCTCAGGAAAAACAGTAATCTTTTGGTATTAAATAAAAACTGGGACAAATTTTTTTGAATTTTGGCTGCTAGCCCTTAGCCTCACTAATCACCTCAGAGCAATTCTCCACATGGAGAAACTGATACAGCATCAACAAATTCTTTATCAAAATCAACACTTTGTAACACTGAAGAAATTAAAAATGTTATAATCTATAAATGGCCTAGCCAGGCTGTTCTGTTAAAACTTTATCCCTATTGGACACCGTTTAAAAACATGTTGAAAAGAAGTTTCCCTTTATCTGTGCTTAGAGTTTTAAAATCATATATGTGTGTGTGTGTGTGTGTGTGTGTGTGTGTGTGTGTGTGTGTGTGTGATATATATATATGAGAATATATATATATTCTCCCTTTTCTAGAAAGTTTATTGCTCCTTTAATATTTCATATTATATTTATATATACTCTTCATGGGAATATCCCACAGTGAGAAACATACTTGCAACTATTTTATTTCTCAGTTCCAATTTCCAGTCCCCACATCAAATGCACAGACTTTCCATCTCCTTAAAATACCACCTTCTCTCCACACACCCACTACCAACCCACAAACACACCATACAGACATATATATATAGGCACACACACAGGCATACACACATACTTACACAGGCATACAAATTCTTTAAATAAATATTTGCACATAAAATCACCTAAAGGTGACACTAAGTTTATACATTAACTTGACAAATAATAAATGTTAATCAAAATGTGGTAATGTTTTTTTCCTAAGTCAACAGTATTAATCAAAATTATAAGCCAATGGTATAGTAACTTCTAAGTCTCACAGATAATCATTATAAAAGAAAAATAAAACTCTTAGAAAGCAAAAGTCTTTGCTTATCCATTTATTTCATTTTTTCCTTTACTTATTACAGCTTCTCTGGATATCCAAAGGCTACTCCCCTCCTAACTATCATCAAAACACCCAGAGAACATCTTTGTCACAGAATCACATCTACTCATAAATAGTAACCTGTCTGGAACCTGTACACACAAAGAAAATACAAATATTTGTAAACAAATACCTCTACTTCAGGAATAAACTTTTCTTTGTCTTCTGGTGGACACTGTTTCTTCATTGAAAGCATCTATTGCTGTCATTATTTCTAATTGAAATCGTCCTCTACCTCCACACCCTTCCACGAAGGAGACATTTCTTTTATCTTTGTCTTGCACATGCACACCACCGCAAGGGAGGGGAAAGTAAATTGCTATTTGCCACTGTCTTTCAATAATAAAACAGCAATGGACAAGGGATGCTCACTACTGTATACCAATGCATATTCAGCACTCAAGTCAGCTGTTGAACAGAAAGGCATGGCTACCCAATTTGCCTGGTGTAGCTTTCACATTTTCAAAAGGCAAAGAAAATCTCACAACATGGACACGTTACTATATTTGATACTTCACTTGAAACTTGTGTTCCTTCTGAATAAAATACCTCAATTTTAGATTTTCCTTTCCTTAGGTCCAAGAAATAGACCTAAATTGAAGTTACAAAGATCAATGTGAAGTTGCTGTCACTTTAGAATAGATCTCAAGGAATGAAAGAACAAAAACTGGAAGATGCTATTGGTGATCTGTGAAAAAATAAAATAAAATACGTTGAAATAGGCAAAGACTTTTGCTTTTATTTTTGTTTTTTTAATGTAATGTGTGAAGTTACTTCTTTTTTCTTTCACTTTTTTTCCTTTGGTTTATCCCCTGTTGTCACTGTTTTTATTTGTTTGTTTTACTTTAATTTTATTGTCAAGATGATGTACAGGGGGGTTACATTACATACATAAGGTAATGATTATATTTCTTGTTGAACTTGTTACCCATGCCCTCATTTTTCTCCCACTTTCCCTCCCTCCCATTCCCCCTAAATTTGTACATTCATTTCCAAAATATTGTCTTGTGAGTACAGCTGTTGCTTGGTTCACCCTTTGTCTTTGTCTCACCACTTTGTTGTCCCTAATTCAGATAAAGGTGTGTGTGTGTGTGTGTGTGTGTGTGTGTGTGTGTGTGTGTGTGTGTGTGTGAAAACAGGGGATAAACCATAGGGGGGAAAACACAAAAGAAAAAGAAATCACATAGTACATTAAAAACAGCAACAACTAAGTAAAACGTCTTGGAGTTCATTTCACGTAGCATCATCTTATATGGTCACATATATTAGCTATTGAGCTATTCTGCTCATCTTCTCGGACTATCCTAGACATATTAGAACTCAAAAAATTAAGTCCCCCAAGAACAAATCCTCAAAGAAACAACTCCCCGAATAATAAGTGGGCTAAAGATTTAGAGACTTCTCTGAAGAGGAAATAAGAATGGCTAATAGACACATGAAGAAATTCTCAACATCTCTGGCCATAAATAAATGCAAATCAAAACAACATTGAGATTGCATCTCACTCCAGCTAGAATGGTCATTATCAAGAATCTAATCACAACAGATGCTGGAGGGGATGTGGCCAAAATGGAACAGTACTATACTGTTGATGGTAGTGTAAACTTGTTCAGCCACTCTGGAAAGCAGTAAATAGGGATACAGGTGTACCCATTGCAGCAATGAGATGTACAAGTCGTTATGTCGAAAACGAACTTTACAACTTTGGTGGGGTGGGGAGGGAGAGCGGGGAGGATTGGGCGGGGGCACAGGGGGAGGATGGGAAGGGATGGGAAGGGGAAACAAAGGAGGAGGCTACAATGTTTGATAAGAAATGTACTCATTATCTTGCCCATGTAATTGTAACCCCTCTGTACAGTATTTTCACAATAAAAAAAAATTATCTATTAAAAAAAAAGACTAAACATAGAGCTCCCTTATGACCAAGAAATCCCACTTCTGGACATTTACTCAAATGACCATAAGCAAGGCCCTACTAAAGTTACCAGCACAACCATGTTCATTGCAGTATTATTTACCATAGATAAGATATGTAACCAACCTAGATGCCCCTCAGTAAATAAATGGATCCAGAATATGTGGTATATATACAGATAAAGAATGTGTTGTATATATACACAATAGAATTCTATGCTTCCATGGAAGCATTCTTTTTTTTTCCATTTTTTTTATTGTGAAAATACTGTACAGAGGGGTTACAATTACATGGGGAAGATAATGAGTACATTTCTTATCAAGCATTGTAGCTTCCTCCTTTGTTTCCTCTTCCCATCCTTTCCCATCCTCCCCCCAACCCCCACACACAAACCATGGAAGCACTCTTTTTTTTTGGGGGGGGGGGGAGTTCAGTCGTGGGGCCTGAACTCTGGGCCTGGCCGCTGTCCCTCAGCTCTTCAGCTCAAGGCTAGCGCTCTACCACTTGAGCCACAGCGCCACTTCCGGCGTTTTTCTTTTTGCTTATGTAGTGCTGAGGAATCGAACCCAGGGCCTCAGGCATGCAAGGCAAGCACTTTACCACTGAGCCACCTTCCCAGCCCATGGAAGCATTCTTAAGGAAATGGAAAGACTTTGAAAAAATCATATTAAGTGAAGTAAGTCAGACCCAAAGAAACATAACAGTTCCATAATTTCCTTCATCTGTTTTTGATTTTGGTACCCTGTGTCTTCTATATACATTTATCTGATTTGGGGAAGGGAAGGGAAATCATAAAACAGTGAGCAAAGGACAAAGGGTGAACCAATGCAACAGACTTTTGCTTTTATAAAACTGAAATCTTCACAAAACAGGTTTAAAAAAATTTTAAATTCAAATTGAAAAATAAATTAATAATAGAACTCAAATAATAATAGCTAAATCACTTATTGCACAACAAACTTTATTTTAATATTTTACAAGCATTGATTCATTTAATCTAAAAAACAACACTCAAAAAGAAATAGGTGCTATTATAGAGGTTTTGTTGTCACTTTCCCCATTTGACATATGAGAAATGAGGCCAACAGAAACTGAGTTGTCCTAGGCTGTTCTAGTAATGACAGAGTCAGAATCTGAACCTAAACTAACTTTAAAAACCAGCTCTGGACCACCACTAATGTCTTCACTTACAAATGAGACTCTTTGTTCCTTGAAATTGCATTTCATATATAATTACAAATATACATTGAGATTAAAACCTGTTTTCCTGTGGAATATAGCTATGGACATTAAGACCACTACAGTCAGCTGGGCACTGGTGGCCTGTAATCCTAGCTACTCAGGTGGCTGAGATCTGAGTATTGTGGTTCAAAGCCAATTCTAGCAAAGAAAGTTCATGAGATTCTTATCTCCAATTAATCACAGAAAATGCCAGAAATGGTGCTGTAGTTCAAGTGATAGAGTGCTAGCCTTGAGCAAAAGAGCTTAGGGACAATGTCCAGACCCAGGGTTCAAGACCCAGGACCAGAAAAAAAAAAAGACCACTGGTATTTTGACTATTAACATTTTTAGAAATCTATAAAAATGTATCCTTTGATATTAAAATGTTGCAAAGAATGTACTGATGATTCTGAGAGTGATAAAAAAGAGGCTTATTTAAGAACAATCTGAACCTTGGTTAAATTTTTGGGGTTATTTCTTTTAGGATTAACTTGGCCTAAATATTGAGACAGACTCTGCCACACTTCTAACACTATATTTCTACATAGATTCCTTCCACAGTAATATCCCCTCAATAGATCAGTGTGACAAGAATCAGAAAAGAAACAAAAAGACCTGTCTCAAGGTAATACATTAAAGACTATTTATTTTCTTAAGAGAGAAGTCCTGGTCTCAGAATCTATTTACTCTTAACTTAAACATAACTGTACCACTTTTGCTTATTTGAGGAGAGCATCTGTTTCAAATTCTGCTTCTATCATTTACCAGTCATATCTTGGGCAAGCTATTCAACTTTAGTGATTCTTTTTCATTTGTACAACAGCCTACCTTTTCCGAATGTTTCATGAATAAAACCTATAGACACATATAAGGTTCTCAGCACAGTGCCTAGCATATACTGAGCACTCAATAATGCTTTTCTGCAATCCTAAAGAAAATAATTCAATGACTGAAAATTATGTAAATGCATATATACATATATAGTAATATACAACAAAAACAAAACAATATACAACAAAAAAAAGAGTTTCAACGTTGATTTTTTCCACTTCATTTTTATCTAATTTAAAACATTACAGTCAAGTAGAAGTAATAGCCTATAGGAGTACGGGAGTAAGACTGATCTTGCTAAGGCCAAAAAGTTAATTATTTAAAAAAATGAAGTTTGGAAACAAAAACAAAGACAAGAGTCATAACAATTCAAAGCACTTCAGTTTGAGGGCTAATCAATGATGAAATAAGTAGATTTAACAGACAACTCAAGGAAGAGCTTAGGAATTGGATGTTCATAGTTATAACTTTGACCCATCAAGACAAACTGGTAAGAAATTAAACTGGAAAAATCAGAAGATAAAACTGTATGTGATAGCCAGGCACAGGTGGATCACGCCTGTAATCCTAGCTACTTGGGAGGATGAGATCTGAGGATCACATTCAAAGCCAGCCTGGACAGGAAAGTCCATGAGACTCTTATCTCCAATAAACCATTCAGAAAACCAGAAGTGGCACTGTGGCTCAAGTGGTAGAGCCGAGCGCTAGCCTTGAGATGAAGAGCTGAGGGACAGCGCCTAGGCCCAGAGTTAAAGCCCCATGACCAAAAAACAAAAACAAAAACAAAACTGTATATGAAGTAACATCAAGTATACATACACTACACTAAAATTTTGACAAGAGCTTTGTCTAATAATAAATAATTATAGGTAGTTTATTATCTTCTTTATTCTATAGTTTTCTTTTTTATATTTTTTAATTTTTTTTCTGCCACCCCACCCAATCCTCCCCGCTCCCCCTCCCCCACACACACCAAAGTTGTAAAGTTCGTTTTCAACATAACAACTTGTACATCTCATTGTTGCAATGGGTCCACCTGTATCCCTATTTAAACGATTTGTTTTTCCCCTTCCCCTCCACAAATTATACTGAAATCAAATACAGTGGATTCTATAGTTTTCAAATAAACTGTTTAAATAATCTGAATGCATAGCTAAATTGTAAAAAATAATAGTAATTCTTTAAAAGGACATCTAGAAATCTAAGAAATACATAAATGTACAATAGAGAGATTAACTCATTGTTTTTCAAATAGCCCTTTTAAAA